CCCCCCTCCCTCGGGCGGCGGCTGCCCCGCGGTCAGGTGTCGGTGGAGAGCCCCGCGGTCAGCCTGTCTGCCTGGATAGACTGCGAGTCTGAAACCGAATTCTGCGTTCGTTCCCAATTCCTCTGCTCGTCTCGACTCGGCGAAGGGAAGTCCCGGCGGTGAGGAGTCTGCTGTAAAGTACCAAGGTTGGGGGATGAACAGAACATAAAGTTTGGTTTGTGGGTTTTTTCTCTTTTTCCTTAATTGTATATTTCAAAGCATGTATTTGACAGAAACGGTGTATGTTTCAAAGAAAAAGTAGCTTTTTAGAGAGGAATTAAGGTTGTCATGTTCCTTCACCTTGTGCTGGTGGAGTAACCGAGTGGTGGTTGGTCACTTTGTAAAGAGAACGGGGGAACAGAATCAGCCGAGCCTGCTGAATCTCCACCCAGGGATGTTGTTTCGCTGTTTCCTCGGATCACCGCAGAGGGACGTGCAGTGTCCTGTCCAAGCTCCAGCCTGAGGTCTGGACTGGGCTTTTGTAAAGCCTCAGTGAGCCTGTCCCAAAGACTTTGTCCTTGATTTTTTGAATGGCGGAGGACGTTCACAAGGCGTTTAAATTGCTGTGACTTCTGGTCGAGTCTGATTTATCTGAGGAGTTTACTGATGCTGCAGTGCGGAACTTTGATGTGGTAAGCAGGGACTGCCACGTAGAACTAGTGGGCTGATGCAGTGGGGATTTGTCTTGGTAGGCAGTTTTCATAGCCAACTTTCAGAGCTGCTGTTTGTCCTTAGTATAAAGTCTAAGCTTTGCCCTTTCCTAGGACCTGAAGTTGCTTGCAAAAACCATTAACGTGAGAGGACGTAAGATTAGCCCACGCTGACTCCCTGGGCTGAGCTGCTCCCAGTGCTTGAGGACGGCCACCGTGCGCGCCGGGCATGCTTCCCCGGAAAGCTGCTCCTGTGTACTTTGACCAGCGTTGACAAGAAGGCCACTTCTCTGGCTTGACTCAGCCAGAGAAGCATCCCCCTCGCCCCTTTGTTGTGGCATGTGTGTGTGAAACAGCATGGGCACAGCTTTCCAGACTCCTTGCTTTGAAACCTCTTCACTGGCACAGAACAAGTGGGTCAGTGTAGGTGTTTCACCTCCCTGTGAGCAGCACTGGTTCCGGGAGCAGCAGCAGCAGGAGTAAGGTCGGTGGGGTTAGTGAACGGTGGTGGCAGCGGGGTCGGGCAAGCGCTCTGCCATCACCCCTGCACTGCCGGGGCCACAGGAAGGGGCTGCTCTGTACCCGAGAGTCTGCAGGTGTGGGACCAGGACCTTCTGAAGGGCTTGCTGCTGGAGCCGAGCTATACCGTGTTGATGGATCAAAAACATCTCGGATTCAGAGAGATCCCTACAGCCCCCTTGTGAGAAAGCAGGGGAAGAAGGTTTTTCCAAGTGGAGAGTTGCTTTCTCTCAACTTCTCAATTTAATAACTGTTTGGAATCAGTAACGCTTGATTATCATTAGCTTTTGAGGATAGTACGGCATGTTTGGAAATCAGAAATACGGGTATGGAAGTGTTACGAACAGGTGTCTAGCCCATTGCCATGCACTGGGTCTGAATCCTGTATAATGGGTATCGGATGTGGTAAGAGATTTCACATCTTCTCTGGGAAGGCTGTTGTAGTGTGATGCTGTGCTAGCTGAAAGCTTGCAGAATATCCAGCTTTGCTGCAGATAAGCCTGATATATTCGTGATGCTGTCACCAAAGGCAGGGGAGAATAAATAATGATAATCTCTTTATAAAAAAACCTTTCTGTGTTTGGTATGGGGTTATGTCACCATCCCCTTCTTTTTGAAGTTAAAGAAACTTTTCTTTAAGTGCTAGGTCACATTTTTCTAATTCTCATTCTTTCTGTTTCTCTCTGCTGAACGTTTTCTGAGTTACTGTTATGTGTCTCAAGAGCTGGACAGCTGTTCTAGGTGGCAGTTTGGTTATTGGTTACATCCAGCTTTCTGAAGTACATCTTAAGCATTTTTGTGTGGGTTTTTATTTAGTTTGTCATTCATTTTAACCCTAAGCTATTTTCTTATCCTTTGGTGTGTTTCTGCTGTCCCATAATGCATCAGTTTCTGCTTCATACAGGTAGTTCTTTGAACTTGTATTCACAAAATTGTATTTTGATGATTTCAGAGAATTTCTGCAACTTGCCCTGGATCTCTCTTCAGAGTATTTCTGGTGCTTATTCACACTGAGCTTGGTGTCAATTGGAAGTTTTGAGTAAGCTCTTACTTTGTGATCTAAATTGTGGGGAAAATATTGAATGGAACTAGACTAAGTAAAAAGCGTTGTGCAGCCTATTTGAGATGCACTCCCTGGATTACAGAGAACTATTCTTTAAGAGCAATCTTTAAAGAAGTTAAAATTTAAAATTACTTCACAGTGACTAAATCATACTTCCGCAGGTGGCTTAGTAGAATGGAGAGATCTTGGCCACCGTTTAAAATAGAAAGATAATTGCTCAGGATTGTTTCCCTGAGCTTTGTGTCTGGTCCTGTAAGGTGATTTGGGACATCAGAGGTGGTGAAAAACCAGTCACTTGGAATTCCGGTGCATGTGGCACTTTTTGCTCAGGACCCTGCTGCCCTAAGACAACAATTACGCAGCCTGTGGATTTGCAGGTGCCTTTTCTGCTAACGACACTCGCTGTGCATCTGTTCACCTCGTCTCCTACTGCGTGAAAGCTTACCGAATTAGCAGTATTTTCTCAACACTGTGGAACAAAGTGTTTGGAAGAGCACTACAAACAAAAAAACCCCAAAAGGTTAATTCAGTTTACGAGAGAAGCATGTTTGGTATTGGGAACTGATCACAAGGCATAGTCTCCGTCCACTTCATGCATTCATGCATTCATTTTGTTGTGGAAGTGATTTCTTTCTTGTCTCGGAACCCACGGATATTTGAATAATGATCCTGGTAGGACTTCTGCCTCATATCTTCATACTCTCTCAGAATTTCCAGGATCTTCAAAACAAGCTGTCGTACTCTACTTCTGTGTCATAACATTTGTTTTATTTTTCTCCCAGATAGGTGTAACCTCCAAAAGAGCCTTTGCTTCAGGCTACAATGGGATTGTTTTGGTTGTTCCTGCTTTCTGTCCACATGCTATCACCCATGTTTGCTGGGGGTGTCACCCGAGTCTATTACCTGGGGATCCGCGAGGTGGACTGGAACTATGCTCCGACAGGAAAGAACGTTCTCGCGAACCAAAGCATTGCACATAACCTGTACGTTTAATTCTGTGAGAATTTAGTCTGGTACTGGCTTGAAATAGTAATTTTATGAGTAATTTCATGCAAGCGTTCTGGGGCATCTAAGCAAGCGAGAGACAAGATCTGATAGATGTCTGATCTTTATGGGCTTAATGGTTAACTTGTTTTATCGTAGGAACGTAGAAACTGTATCGGTGGGAAAACGAATGGTCAGTTTAACGGAGCATCCAGTGACCAGTGCTTGCATGCTGGAGGGAAGTACAAACACTCTGTAATAGAACAGATTGTGCAATATTCTGCCCTGGAGTTTCATCTTCCTTCATTCCGGCTGGTGATCAGCTTGTGTATCCTGAGGCATGATGACTTTTCACCTTGATGTAAATGACTTCTCAGAGCTGGCTTGTTTTTGTTTAAATGGAATTTCAAGCATTAGACTTAATGGAACTTCCTGCATGAAATATTAGGGGTTGTTTGAAAAATGTTTTTGTTGCAAAAGTAAATCTAGAATCTGCAATAATTACTTTGAGTCACTACAAAAACAGGTTTTGGTTTTAGTTTTCAAAACACCAAGCCTTTTACTCTGGTGGTTTTTTGTTTGGGTTTTTTTTTCCTGCATAGCTTTCCACAGCTTTTTAAAGACATTTGTGCCTTTTATTTTTTTTTTCCCCTCCCTGCCTCATTTTCTGTGACAAATAACCTGTATTTCTTGACCTGCTCTCAGTAATTTACCCCTCCATAATAAATAGCAGTCGGGTTTATACATATCTTTCAGAAACATCACAGCAGGAATAAAGAGGCTCACAGAAAAACATCAAGGTCTGCCAGTTTAGCATGGAAAAGTCTCTGTCCTCTGGAGATATTGAATAGACTTAAATGAGTTCACAGAAAAGGAAACCCCCCAAAATTCAAGATTAATAAAGATGTTATCGCTGACTCCTGCAGTGATAACAAATACAGTGGGTTTGTTTGCTTTCTCTCATAATACATGAAGAGAAGGAAATGAATTGCAAGGCCATTGAAAGCAATTTAAAAACTGTTCTATCACTGCAAACAATTAGCTAATGGGACTTATTTGTACAACGATTGCAGAAACAAAGTGAGAAAAAGATGTGATATTGATATGAATGATAGAGGTAGGAAAATGCTTGAACAATTTTTTTTTGTTGGGAAGAAGTGGACTATGTGGGGGGAAAAAAGAGGCAGATCTGCAAAATGAAGCATGAATTATGTGGGAACTCTTTGCTAATAGTGGCTGCAGGGATGAACTGGCAAAGGGATGAGCTCTGGGTTGTATAGCCAGAGCCCAGCCCTTCGCAGTTTTGAGTGTCAAGGGCAGTGCTTAATGTGTTGGTCTCTACTGCTCATCTTCTGGAGGTACACAATACAGTTTGCCTGTATTTCAGGGCTCCTTATGTTACTGTAGGCTGACTGATAGTAGGAGGGAAGGCGGGGAGTAACCTCAGCTCTCATTTAGGCCTGTCCCACTAATAGCTGGTCCATGATTCATTTCTTATCTACTAAGAAATAGCCATAAAGAGCAAATATACTCATGAGTTGAACTTTAGTACCTGTATGAGGTGTTAACTCTGGAAGCTGGTTACATGCTGGATACGTACCTGCCTGACTTGTCTGCCATTCTAAAAGTAATTCAGAGTCTGTTTAGTAGAAAATCATCCTTCAGGCTGTGAATTTTGACCAGAGAGCTCAGGAGATTCTCCTCTTTGTGGTTTAGCTGCAAATGTCACGAAGGCATGGAAGTGAGTTTCTGAAAGCCCAGTGAAGGCTGAATCAGGCATGAGAAGGGCTTTGGTCTCCCCTGTGCCACCCACACGTGGCTGTCGGAGAAACACCATCCTTGCCATCCCTTGTTTTCCCTGCCGAGTTCGGGGTGTGCTTTGTGTCCATTTGGAGAACGGGGGATGAGGCCGTGGCTGTGCATGGTGGCAGGCGGTGGGTGTCTGACAGTGCTGGTGGCTGCGGTCCCAGGCTCGCCAAGCTGTTAATGTGCTGATGTCCCCTGCTGTGTTTCACACACGCAGAAAGGAGACAAGCGTAACAGCCAGTGCTGCCTGTTTCCCAAGCAGGCTGTGTTACCCGTGTCACCGCAGTCAGAGGTGTGGGAGGAGGACATTCGCGGGAGGCTTGGAGCATGCTGGGGTAGAGGGCAGGCAGTCCTCTGTGATGCCAAAGCTTTCACGCTTACTTGGGAAAGCTGTGTCTCATCAGCACTCTACTGTGTTATCGACCAGCTGTTTTATATAATGCGTGACTCATGGTGCCTTTCCCCTTTCTGAATTTAACAGCAAGGCCTCAGCATTCCTCCAGCCTGGAAAAGACAGAGTGGGAAGCACGTACAAGAAATCTGTCTATAAGCAATACACAGACTCCACGTACACCACCGAGATTCTCAAACCTGGCTGGCTGGGGTTCCTTGGGCCTGTCGTCCGAGCAGAAGTGGGGGATACCATTAAAGTACACCTAAGAAATTTTGCTAGTCGACCGTATACAATTCATCCTCACGGTGTTTTCTACGAAAAGGACTCTGAAGGTAAATGAGACACTGCCATAAAGGAGACAGATTTTTCTTGCTGGGAACTTAGGAGTATGCACTGAGGACAAATGCCTGTAAAGCCATGGGCTTGGTTAGCTCAAAGCTATATTGCTGGAAAAAAACTGCACCTAGGATTTTAGTGAAGTCGCCTGATGTTGGGTTAGCAGGTTCATGGGTCTAGCAGTAGTTTCCTGACCTGGGCGTTAGAGCACACAGCCCAGACTTCTTGATTTTTAGAAGAACCTTAAAGGCTTGCTAGTGGGAGAGTGGTGCAGAAGAGTTATAGTCATTATCTGAAGTCGTGTAGTATAAGAGTCATGAGCATGATGAGCTTCAGGGAGTTTACAAGAATGGTCAACTATGAGACCAAAGAACTGTTTGAAGTGACCCAAGAGACTGTAGAGAGGCTGACTGTGGCACATTGTAGAGTTGAAGGCACAGTAGCAATAGGCAGAATGTGAACCATCTTTCTGACTCTGTGCTGACCCATTTACTGGGCAAGTTGCCTTACAATGGCTCTGTGCCTCAGTTTTTTTTTTTTGAGAGAATGGTGATTAAACATCATTTCAGCCTTGGGATAGTGAATCTGGCTTTGAAATCTGCTACCCAAGCATATGTGTGCAACTCTCCACTGAGTGAGAGTGGCTGAGTGTAACATTACATGTGTGGACATCTCTGCTCTTCTTGAATGGATGTTGTGATTGCTCAATTGTTCTAGGATCCCTGTATCCCGATATGTCCCCCCAGGATCAGAAGAAGGATGATGCTGTTTTCCCAGGAGGGAATTACACCTATACTTGGACTGTCCCTGAAGATCACAGCCCAACTGCTGATGACCCAAACTGCTTGACCTGGATCTACCACTCCCACATTGATGCACCAAAGGACATTGCATCTGGATTAATTGGGCCATTACTTACATGCAAAAAAGGTAAAAAGCCCAAGAGAAAGCAGCTGAAGGCTGCAGTTTCCTACTGTGAAGACTTTTTTGAGACTTAAACAAGGATAGGATGAGAATACATTCCCGTGGGCAGCTCCCAGCTTCATGGGAAAAAGCAGCATGACTGGAGAAGACAATACCTGTGTTCTAGCTGGGTTCTGGTCATTATGTTGTCTTTACCCCTCAGTGGCTGGGCAGGTGAGCTGGTAGGCCTCTTGATCTGAGAGTGCTGTCTGAATCCATGTTAAAAAATGGAATTTTGT